TGCTTCCATGACACTGTCATCATGTCTATTATTAATATTACTGATGTCATTCTGATCACTTAAAGCAGATTTGCATGTCCAAAATGACCCCCTTTTGGTTGGCCCACATGTAAAGTACCAACCTTTGATGCTTTCCCCATCATCACCCTTTTGGTTGGCCCACATAGAACCAACATTTGCCGCTTTTCCATCATTTTAAGTTCTGTGTCTGCTCCTAATCAGACATCTCAGGAGACATGACACACAGACAGATAGGGACTGGACAGATCCGATGCTTCCTGGCTAGTGTCCCTGCTCTCAGTGGGGTTCCCCCAGGTCCCTGGCCTCTATGCAGCCTGTTTGATCTTTCTAGATGTTTTTCAAACATCTTCCCAATGGTCCTCAGGACAGAATTCACATCCCTTAGTGAGTCTTGCATCAACTCTTCCACTGATATAGTGATGCATGAAATATTTGCCCATATTTCAACAACAAATAAACATTTGGAAACCACATATTCATTCCTCAACCAACATTTATTATGGGCCACAGACTACACTAGCCACTGGAGATGCAGGGGTGAATAAGACACCCTACTCGTGAAATTTATAATCCAGCAGAAAAGATGGAAACTGAGCAGGCAACTACAAGTGCGTTGGACTTGGCGGGTTGCTATGGTAGTGTTAAGGGACAGGGGACCTGGCCCTGACCAGAGGGAGGGACAGGAACAATGTCTCTGAGGAAATGAAAGATGAGTAAGAGTTAGTCAAAGTGTGTGTGTGTGTGATTATGTACGTGTGTGTGTACATGTGTGGGTATGTGCTTGTGTGTGTGTTTATATGTATATATATCTTTGTGTGTGTCTTTATATATGTATGTGTGTATGTGAGTTTTTGTGTAGGTTTGTATAGAATGTGTGCATATGTACATGTGTATTTGTATTTGTGAGTATTGGGGTGTTTACGTGTATGTGAATATATGGTTCTATGTATGTCGGATTGTGCGTGTGTACACGTGCATCGAGGTTTGCATGTGTGTAGCTGTGTATGTTTGTGAGGGTATCTGTGTATGTGCACACAGGCACTGGCACAGCACTCCAGGTAGAAGTAAGGGTGACAACTGCCTGCACACCTGCTCTGTGCTGGAGTCTTCCCAGTGCCCTGGGGATGAGACATGAGACACAGCCCCTGCCCTCAAGGTGCTCGCCAGACTGCACTCCTGAGCTACCTTCCCAAACGTGGAGATGAACCCTCATTCCTTCTCTTTTCACCTCGACTCACACTACTGCCATTCTAGAGCAGGGCTGTCCAACAGCACTTTCTGCAATGATAGGCACGTTCTGCACTGTCCAGTGTAGTAACCATTCACCCCATGTGGCAATTTAGCACTTGCAATGCATCTAGTGAACCTGAGAAAATAAATTTTTTATTTTATTTCATTTGAATTTAAATTTAAGCAGCCACATGTGACTGTGGCCCCCTTACTGGGCAGTGCAGGTCTGGATAGTACTTCCCCTTAAGGTCTAGTTTGAGTTGTAGATTAACAAGTAGAATTTCTTATACTTTGATACATCAGTGTAAGGAATGGGGACAGGAACCTGGGATTTGGGTCACCTTTTATGTGTGTGAATAAATTGAACGCTTCCATCCTCTGTGCAGGCTGGAGATGTGCGTTTCCATAACACCGTCTGGAAGAATAGCCAGTGGTCAAGTCAAAGTTGCTTTGTTTGGAAACAGGGAAACACTCATCAGTATGATGTCTTCAGGCAATTTCTTATTTTAACACCACATCTCATTTGATAATAAGCACAGCCTTCAAACCAGGCACTTAACTTAAATGCTTATCATGTCTTTACATATCCATAAATTTTAAATTATTTACTTTATGTACTGAAGTTAATTGCACATTTATACTAATAATGGGTCTTTTCTCTATTATAAACCTAGGCATTTAATTTTTTCTCAATAGATCAGATTTTTTTAAAAAACCAACTAACATTACCCCATATATTATGCTTTCTTTTTTTTTTTTTTTTTCCTTTTTGTCTTTTTTCATGTCCGGCAACAGGATCGCAACCCTCAGTGTCATGCCCGCACCTCTCTCAGCCAGTGAGCGGGAACCAGTCTGTATGTGGGATCCGAACCCTCAGCGGGAGCGCCTCTGCACTCCTAAACGGCGCACTGTAGCAGTGCACCAACGGGCCGGCCCCCATATATTATGCTTTCTGATTAGCACAATA